GGAGGTTGCTGTGAGCGTGATGCCACGGCACTCTACCCAGGGGGACAGCTTGAGGCTCCATCTCAAAAAAAAAAAAAAATAAATAAATAAATAAATATTCAAGCTCAGCTCACTGACCTGATAGAAGAATGTGCTAAATCCTCATCAGTGCCAATTGCTCTCAGCACGTAAGAAGGTTCCAGCGATGCAGAAGTGCAGGCACTGAGGAGAGCAACACAAATCTTGTTCACTTCTTCATCATCATCTCCTTTGAGCCACAAACATTCAGTCTTTTTCCCACCCCACAGGGCTCTGGAGTCGTACCATGGAGGACAAAGAGACCTAACCTGGTAAAACTAAAGGGCCTGATGTTACCCTGCACATCCTGGCCCCCATGGTGGATAATGTCCTAGAACAAGGACACTGCCAAGGTGAGACAGAGCATGATACCACAAAAACTGAGTTTGACACCAAAAGGCAGCAGATGGACAATGTGCTCGCTTCCCTGGGACAGTATATATTAGCCCGAAGCCCTCTAAAACAGCTTCGATTCTAGAGGCCTGCAAGAGAACTGCCAGCATGATCCCCCAACAGATAAATACATCCTCTAAGAACACAAAAGGCACAAAATTCTATCCCAAGATAGCTTCCTTAGGTGGTGAACTTCAGCTTGTGCCCAGCCAGCCAAAAAATAGGCACTTAGAAAATAACCTTTACTTACAATCAAGAGTTCTTGTGCCTGTTATGCCATATTTGGAATCTTAATAACCCTCAGGGCACTTAGAAGCCAGGCATATGAGATCTATACACACAGTCCTACCTATTCTTTCCAACTCACCTTCCTGAGGATAAGGCTACATCCTTCAGTGCCATCAGCAGACTCTCTCCTTCCACATATGCAAAGGAGAGGTTGATACAGCCTGAAGAAAAGATGAACTATGAGAGAGGTCTCCAAGCCTCAGCCTCTTTCAGAATGGGGATAGAAAGGACATGGCCATACCAGGGTAATGCTGTTCAGGGTCCCCATTCATCACCACATCTGGAAGGCTCTTCATTATCTTCTGTATCAGCCGTTCTGATAACTTTGAGATGCGCCTGTGGTCATACTAAGGAGCATGCAAAGAGGATTAAACATAGTAACTACAAAACAGCTCAGAAACACATAGTTCAGGAAGTCCTCAGGCTGGAAGTGGTGGCTCACGCCTCTAATCGCAGCACTTTGGAGGCCAAGGTAGCTGGACTGCTTGAGCTGAGAAGTTTGAGACCAGCCTGAGCAAGACTGAGACCTTGTCTCTACAAAATAGCTGGACGTTGGGCGGTGCCTATGGCTCAAAGGAGTAGGGCGCCGACCCCATAGGCCAGAGGTGGCAGGTTCAAACCTGGCCCCGGCCAAAAACTGAAAAAAAAAAAAAAATAGCTGGGTGTTGTGGTGGGTACCTGTAGTCCCAGGAGGCTGAGGCAAAAGGATTGCTTAAGCCTAAGAATTTGAGGTTGCTGT